CTCAACATGGTCCCCGGCTTGTCAAACTGCAAACCTGCTGCCTCCCACATGGCTCGAGTTGACTTTTCACCATCGTACAAAGTAGTTGCCAGGCCGTAATTTGCTTCGTTGCCATCGCTTTGCAGCATTGTTCCAAACATCTCTGTTGTAACTTGCTTGTAAGTTAGTGGATGTTGTCGATGGACGTGCCAGATTAAAATCACGTCATAGCATGGAACAATTGAGATCTGCGGATTTCTGCTTCTTAGTTCCAGATGATGTTGGTAGCGCTCAACGGCTTTGGCAAGAAATCTTCTGTCTGCATAGTGAGGCAACGATACTTGGTAATAGAACCTGGATTGGTCGTAACATGCCTTTTCGAGGTCATGGCAAATTTTCAAGTTGTATGGCATAAAAAACGGCATTGTTTGGGCCAAGTTAACTTCAAATGGTTCCCCGGGATAACTGGATTCCCATAAATATCTTGCTCTATGAACTCCCTCCTGTCGTTGGTATCTGTTCATGGGCGTGTGGTCAATGACTTGAGACACAATACTCATGCAGTCTTGCTCATATTTCTGCGGTGTTAACATATGCACATACCAAACCCAGGCGATGTCCAGGGGAGCTGCCAGAAGCTTGCTTTCTGTTCCTTGCTTAGCTGCGAGTGGTAGCCAGAAGACTTCGTACCTTCTGATAGCATTTCTTAGGATTGGACCGGCGTACAAGCCAGGAAACTCATCAACCAGCTCGAGAAAATTAAGCACATTGGAAGCTGCTTGGATCAGGTGATTCACGTTAAGTCTGTGTGAATATTTTGTTTCTTGGGTCATTGCTCTTGGGCTTGTTTGATGATTGCTCTTTGGGAAATAACATGATAGATAGCCGATAAGCACAGTTTTGAAGTACACAAGCCGATTGAGTATTCACATGCATGTGAGAGCAAGAGAAATGATAAGGATATGACAATTGGCTGTTTACATAGCTATGTTTTTCAAAGGTGCGTTTCCTACTTTGTCAGTTTTAAACTCTAATCTGCGTGAGGTACTTGAGGTAAAGATACTTAAGAGTCCTGAGTGATTTTCGTTTTTATATTTGATATTTTTAGGAAAGGCTACCGACCTTCTTACTTTTTTCAATAAATATTGGGGAAATTTTTTTCTCATCAAAATTCTAACGGGACTTAACGTTCCTATGATATAACCATGATTGAATAGCTCTTTTATCCACGCATTCGGAGTGTTTAACGCTTTGGAACCTAGCAACCTTTCAAAATCTTTGTTTTTTTATGCATTTCAGTATATATCTGAGTTTTTCAAATCATCAGTTTGGATATATTGTATTTATATTTTACCATATATTTCATGTTCTTCTACATTCAAGGGGCACTTTCTGCTCCCATCGAGCCACATAAACAAAATTTGACCCATGAAAAGTCATTTCAAAAGGTAGGTTATAATTAAGGATTGATTATCTCACAATACGTAGTACATGCTCCTGATTAAGATTCTATAGCATCATCTCTGTAAGGGCTCATTTTTTGTCTGAGATTCTTGTTATCTGGGCTTACCTATTTTAGAATATTTAATGCCAAGGTTATATATTATTAAAAAAAACCGTTCCGCACGGCTTCTCTCTCAGAAGCTCTGCAGTGAATTCGCAGTCGAGTGTTGCGATGACACACATCGCCTGGACCAAGACTTGAAAACTCACTAAGCTATCATAATCAGTGGTTTTACTTTTGCGTAACCATGAATGGTTGCATTTGTTTTGCTTTGTTCTTTAGTTAGAAACGGAAATTTCTTGTTTTGGTTTTTGGCTCTAATACCGAAGCCAACCAAAGGTGCCCTTTGAAAGCCCTGTACATGCATTAGAGCAGGGAACATTAACTAGTGTAGTTTTAAAATGGTATACTTTTCGAAAAAATCGCTAAATTTAGAGGTAAAACTATATGTCAGAAATACACACCGAAAATTAAGCCTCTATTCCATTAGGTGGAACGGTCCAACATATAAATATGTCGAGTCACTGCCTTCAGGTTCCTCTAATCCACACTTAAGTAGTTTTACAGCACGACTTTCAAATTCGCTTATGACGCAAAGCTATCCGAAGTTAAACTTTGCCGCTTAATCTTAAAATTAATGACTAACAAGCACAGGCTGGTTTAGATAAACGCTTTTCACTGAAAATGGTTTGCGAAATTTTATCTTGTTTCATATACGTTAAGACAATTTGCATCGTCATCTTCAAATAAATTAGTCTGCGTTGCAGACGAAAATTTTTCCCTGTGAGTAAAGCGACACAGGCTACTTCAAATTTTGACATGTCATGTCACAATTCAGTTAAACACAAAGCCAATTTGCAATTTGCACTTAGAACGTTAATCGATGGTTTTAACTGATGCGAAAACTAAAGAATCCTTTAACGAAAGTTAAACAACTGAAGCAAGTAATATAAACACTTATATTCTAACCTGACTAAGGGGTTATTTGATTTGATTTGATTTGATTTTATCTTTGCATTCAACAGGGCTTTGAACGTAGTTTAAATGTTCATATATGTAACATAAATTAATTACTTAAAATGAAACATTCCTTTTATAAACTCTTCGAAACTTAACGGCGACGATGGTAATTTTTTGAGTGACTTCTGTTAATATTTGTATCCAGCCTGATATATGTATTGCATCTAAATAGTCATCCAATGGTAAATTTGAATTCTGATTAAAAAGTGACAATCTTGAAAGAAAAACAGGCTTCCTCCAAAAGGCATTCGTTAAGCTTGACATCATCGAAAAATAAAAGATCACAGCAAAATTGCCTCAGGATTAGTTCTCGTTGTTCTTACACTGCAATGTGCTTATAGACATGAGCATAAAAAGAAACAAAACGTTTTTTCTTGCGCTTTTATTTCTGACCGCGTAGTCTAAACGACATGCTTGCAATATATATGTGCTTGTATCGAGCCTCGTGATCAACGTTTGCGAGAAGTCGTAACACTCGGCAGCTCGTTTCTTCACAGTACTTCTGTTTCTCGCAAACTTCACACGTATTTCCATGCCTCATTAGAAACACGGAACCATTTATTATTTCTTAACTAGTGCTGATTTATGACAGCTTTTAAATAAGTTTCAAAGTTGACTCACCTTGAAAGTGTCTAGCTTTGCCGCTATGGCTTCTCGCAGTAAGATTCCATTGAAGGCAACTTAATATGTCAAGCCTTTATATTCCTTTCTAATAGTAAGTAAATTTACTCTCTACGAGTGAAGTGTGTTTGCATCGATTGACGTCATATTAAATTCTCTCTGTTTATTGTTTTTGGCGTGCGTAGCAACTGACCTCCAAAACAACTGTAGCGTAGATCTTTTGGCCGATTGTAAGTTCCGTGATTTTACAATTTTTACTTCTCAACCATTAAGAAAGTTTACAAGTTTATTTCGCTTACCACTAAGGAACAATCATGCACTGGATGAGATCGACTTCGTTGAAAACAGTAGAATGGTGATAAAACTTACCCAGGTCAATAATTTTGTGGTTTTGGTTTAGTTTCGTTGCTTTGCGTGAAAAGATCCGATGCCCTTGATCGATTTAAGATATTATTTGTAGTTCCCGATTTTGACATCGTCACACAATAGAAATTAGATGTACGTTAGTTTCTTATCGAGGGCTTCTTTGTTCTCCAACTTGAAACTTTCCGTACTTTTACTTTATGCATCTATTTCAAGTGTCTCCCGACACTTTGATTGTCACCATTGTATAATTTACGTAATAGGGAAGTTAAATTTTCTGTCAACTAAGAAAAACTAATATTTACCCATTTCGCGTTTTGTCAATACTGGGCATAGCTTTGTTTTAAACACTGCCTTAACGACTGGTACTTTTTTTTGTGTGTGTGTATAAGTTTGATTCACTTTCGGACAGTTTTACAGTACCGTTATATTAGAGACCTATAGATTACAGGAGGCGTAGCTAGGGGGGTCCTGGGGTGCCTGTGACCACCCTTTTGTAAGCCTTTGTTAAGCAAACAACCTACAACTGGTGGAGGAAACAACATGACAATCTGGTGAGTACCCTCACTTTGATACAGTGTAACCCCCCTTGAAATATGTCCAATCATTGGACTACGATCAGTTGAGCACGAGTACGATGTTAATTTCGAGAAAGACTTAAAGACTTGAAACTCACCTCAGTCTGTAGTTTATAGTCCCTTTCATTATTAATACAGATTGAAGTGCTTGTTTTGAAAATCAATAAAAGCTATTAAAGAGAAGTACACATATTTTCCTAATCTACTCTACTTTCTCCAAATTTTTGTCTAAACTTATCACACGTNTTCTCCAACTTGAAACTTTCCGTACTTTTACTTTATGCATCTATTTCAAGTGTCTCCCGACACTTTGATTGTCACCATTGTATAATTTACGTAATAGGGAAGTTAAATTTTCTGTCAACTAAGAAAAACTAATATTTACCCATTTCGCGTTTTGTCAATACTGGGCATAGCTTTATTTTAAACACCGCCTTAACGACTGGTACTTTTTTTTTCGTATAAGTTCGATTCACTTTCGGACATTTTTACAGTACCATTATATTAGGCACCTATAGATTTCAGGGGCGTAGCTAGGGGGGTCATGGGATGCCTGTGACCCCCCTTTTATAAGCCTTTTTAAGCAAACAACCTACAACAGGTGACGAAAATAACATGACAATCTGGTGAGTACCCTCACTTTGATACAGTGTAACCCTCCTTGAAATATGTCCGATCATTGGACTGCGATCAGTTGAGCACGATTACGATGTTAATTTCGAGAAAGACGTAAAGACTTAAAACTCACCGCAGTCTGTAGTTAATAGTCACTTTTATTATTAATACAGATTGAAGTGCTTGTTTTGAAAATCAATAAAAGCCATTAAAAGAATCTAGAAGTACACATATTTCCTAATCTACTCTACTTTCTCCAAATTTTTGTCTAAACTTATCACACGTGCACTTTAAGAGTAATTAATAGTCAACAGTATCAATCTAACTTTAAAGTTCGATTAAAAGCTTTCAGTCATGTGAACAGCCGTACAGCTCTACCCTCATAGCGATTTGAACATTCCAGGTCTGTGGCAAGATTCGCACAAAACGAGCCTTGATGTGCTGCTGAAACACGTGGGAAACAACTGTATTTTTATCAAAGTTTCCTTGAAATACCTGAAATAAATACGTACCATTAATAACTTACAGTACTAATCAAAAAAATATATCTGTGGAAGATGAAATGTTCCCAGCATGTTGCAAGCAGGAGTCGAAGAACTGATTGCGGTTGGATTCGACCCCGTGAACTTCCGGATATCTGTCGGCAGCTGGTATCTCTGAGCTACAGAGAGCTAAGTCATTTACCGGGTTCATATGCAATAAGCATCTTGCATACTGGTAGGACCAACAAGAACCTGCGATCAGCTGGTCTTTTCTCTCTCTGAACGGGAGGGAGGGGGAATTTTCTCCTTCCTCCATTCGTCGAAAACAGCTGAAGGTTAGAACAACATGTCATTTAACTACTTTCTTTGTCCGTAGATTTTTTTAGCGCAGAGGGGGTAGGCCTAAGCATGGACACAACTTCATCTCACTTAAAGTTTTCTGACAAAAGCTTCACCGTCAAGGGCCTTGACGGAAACAAATGACCCCCCATGGGTATTTTGCGATCATTTTAGATTCTTTGTTGGAATTGCTAGTATGAGGCACACGGAATGCAAAAATCTCTGTCACCATTTTTTGTGTGTCCATGGGGCCTTAAGTCGAAAACAAGTGACTCCCATGGGTATTTTGTGTCGGTTTTAGATTCTTTGTTGAAATCGTTACTATGAGGCATACGGACTGGAAAAAAACTTTGTCACCATTTTTTCCAGCGATGGCAAATGAAGCCAAATGAAAATGACAATATAAAGTGGCCAATTTTGGAAATAACTGAAGCTGGAAAGGACAATATGGCGAATTTAGATTCAGATAGATGGAAGCGACAAAATCTTCGGTAGACCAGTAGATGAAGTGGCTAAACTTATCATGACCGGGATTTAGGTCATTTACTAGATTAATATGTGCCACGAGTCCTTCATAAATTTAGGACTCACTTTCACGGAGTTGTTCTCCAGGTATGGCTCCCATTCTCCTCCATCACCAAGAGACAAAATTTCATAAGTTGTCACCCTATGCAAGGAGTCATGCTTTGACTGAGTAGCTATTTTCTTGATTGCTGTCTCCATTCCAAGGTCAACTTGCAGCCACTGGCTACGATTATTGATGCCTGCAGACCACGAAGTAGCTGAGTGTAAGCGGGCGTATCGGGGATCAAGGCCATTACGAGTGAAAGACGATGCAGTTAGGGCAGAATCTGGAATCTTTCCATTTTCCATACCTAAAGGCTCGGCGCAATCTAATAAAAAAAATGTCAAGCTTTCTTCTCAGTCATCTTATAGTGAATGTGGTTCTTTTAGTCTTTCCAACCTTTCTTAAACTAAGGTCTAACTGATTCAATCGACTCAGTGTAAGCCGTCTGGTACGTGAGAAATTGACAGGTTTCAAGACTGAAGATTTGTTAGGAACGACATATGGAAACCTGACAAATTACTCAGTGGCAAAGAGGAACGCCTGCCTTTAGCCCGAAGCTGTAAACGCTGGAGGGACTGACGGACAAATAGATTGATAGATTGTCATTGGATAGATTGCTGATTTGCATAGATTGGTTAGTTAATTTACGTTCTACTGCAACCTTGGGGACCGACGCGATATTTTCGGTCGAAAGTTTACATCAAGAGCTGGAGAGCCCCGGCACTCTTACAGAACTAGTTCCAGAGGTGCTTGAATTTCTTTCCGCTTATTAGCCAGAAAATTATTTTTCTGGCCAATCAGCGAAAAGAAATTCAAACGCACGCTGGAACTGATATGGTAAGAGTAAGTAAGGCTCTCCCGTTCGGATGTAAACTTTCGACCGAAAATAACGCGTCGTTTCGACTAGCTGCCTCTGGTTCTTCGAGGATGGTCGCACTGTTGTTGTCGTTTATAAGCAGATCGTAGGATGTGTTTCTTTGGCATTATCCCGATCAATGATCCACCTGTATCGTGGTACATCAAAAGGAACCGACGAAGCCACTCTTCTCTTCACCATGATCCGACAGATCTTAGATCAATGATCCTGGTCGTGATCATCTCAAAGAAATGAATCTTAAATTTGATAACTGGTTTACTCTAGAAAATATACTAGTTATACCTTTGCACTTGTTGCCGCTCGGCTTAATTTGACAGATGTCTGTCTGTCCTCCACATTGGAAGTCTAAGTCATTACAAGAGAGGAGTCGCACCCCGTTGGTCATGTAGATTGCCCATTCATGATCCTTGATGTCCTTTGGGTTAGAATCTGCTGTCTTGTTATTTAATTCACAAACCTTTGTATTCTGGTAATAGTTTATGCTTTCACACAAGGGACGATGCTCGTCGCACAGCATCACGCAAGTTGCAATACCTGGAGCTGGTTTGGTAAGAAACACGTGACCTGCTAAAACACGATCTGGAATGGAGCGGGTTACGTCTTTGCACTGCATGACAGAGGCCAGAGTGACTTGCATCGGAGGGTGACTGAGAATCACAAACAACACTGTCATGATGAACTTGGGAAACATAACACCTGACAAGAAACGAAGAATATGCATTGCCAAATCAGTAAATTGGAAATTCATAAAAAAAACCTTTTTTGTCGCAATTCTTGGCTCATGGTAGGCTGCTGCAAATTGTCGCAGTCCCTTTTACTCTGAAAAGTCGTTTGCCGGTAAATATATACCTTCCATTCAGTGTAGGGACTAAACGTCCTGTTCGTCTTAGTTTGGTTATTTTAAGTAACAAATTAAACTAAACATTGTCGCTTTTCAGATATGAAAACTTCTTATATTACGTAACAAATCACGCATTACCGCTTTCCAGAAGCGAAAACCTTTACAAAAATCAACATTTTACGTAACTCTTGATCAATAACTAGACATGAACGTCTAAATCGGTTTTCATCATCTACAGAGATTCTAGATAGAAGATGCTTATGCCTTACCCAATCTAAAAGATCGCTCTCACTCCATTACGTAACAAACCAAAGATCGCTGCTTTAAAGTTACGAAAACTTAGGATTACTTTTAGAAATAGAGGGATACTTTTGTCTCTTCAACGGATAAGCGGGGAAACGCGATGGTTTCGTTGGGCATCTAGCTTAAAATTACAGGAAATAAAATTTCTGAAAAGTAAGCGCTTTACGCATTTTTATGCGCAGGACACGATAACTTTCACTTGCAATATCTGCCATATAAATTAAACAAGTCGCGAGAAATTATTACTAAGCTTTATCTAATTCAAATTAATAAGGAACTCTATTTCTTTCATAAAGATGACCCTTAGGCTCGCTGGCAATGTCTTAATGGAGAAGCATCTTATCATCACTCAAAAAGCGAACTCAAAATCTCGTATTACGTGGCTGGACCATTCCAAGGATGCCTTCGATCAGGGAACGCAAATAACTGAAACCAAAAGTAACAAATAAACAAGAAGAAAGTTTGCTTTGCTTACCTTCAGCTGGATTTTTTGTACGATGTCGCGTCTTTAGGTTGTTAATCGAGTATTTCCACCCTTTCCGACTTTGGAAGAGATTTTCTCGTGTGGATTAAACATATATGAAAACCAAGTGACCGACTGCATGGAACATTAGTTAAAACTATGCATTATTGATAAACATGAACTTTTTTATTTACCCCGGCTATTTAACTTTTAAATTTTCTTTGCACGTGTCTACTTTCGCTACATTGTATACCTTTAGTCGCCCGAAGAGGAAAGCACGGCAGCTTAAAGCTCAGTTAAGTTTGTTCCTTTTTAGCCAGAAAACATTTTTTATATACTGTTGATCTAATAAGAACCAGTCTGGGAACTGTTTTGATTGCATTCAGAGCACAAAAAAGGAAACAAAAGGATGGCCTTGCTTTGTTAGAATTTCATTTTTTTTTTTATTTGTTTATTTATTTATTTATTTATTTTTTTGATTTCATGAGTTATGTTTACAAACAATACAACACTTACACTTTTAATACTTACGATACTTAAGTCAATTGCACCAAATAGAATACAATACTAACGGTACGTAAAATGCTTTATTTACAGTACATGTTTTTGTATCCGAGACTCAAATTTTACAAGTAAGTAATAGATATGTACACAAATGGCAAAGAAGAGAAGAGAGAAAAAAGGCTCACAATAGAGAGGAATCTAGATCAGCAAGATACG